GTACTTTATGCTGCTGTAAACAGTATCACCAAAAAAAAATGTGGCAAGTCCATGCATTTCGTCAAACCTTGTAATTTTCAATGTAGCACACATGACCTCACATTTACGGTGTTATTGTGGTAGTGGTGCATCAAATCTAAAATCAAACTGCAGCGTCTTAAAGTAGAGATCTCAAGCTTTAATTTGAAAAAAAGAGCATAACTTTGCGATGATTTTTCACGGAGTTATCATCAGTCAAATTTGCCCAATTTTTGCCTAAAATTGTTCTATGCCATATTTCTTTTGAGCAGTGTAGTTTTGATACATGTATGTTCTTTAATATGTACTCTATTAACAATAGTAGATATCAATTTTTTCTAGCCAACAAAAGTAAAGAGAATGGTAATGTAAGACTTATTCTATGTTAATCTAAAAGTATTTTCTTCTGTCTAAACGTAATATCATAATATTAGATCATCAATAAATTCATTATTAATCATGAATCATATAAGCAATTTCATATAACTTCACATAATTTAAAAATATCTAATTATATGTATATGTATGTAAACGTACGCAGTAATGAAGTCACTTCCTCTACGTTCATTATTTCAGAATATTTAATAGTTTAAAACTTACGGTGGTAATTGCTCTATAGACATTTGTTTAACATCCTTCTTTCGCTTCTTTGGCGGCATGATTTCTCATTTATAATTGTAGCTACTAAAACGTAATAGAGCTTATTTTCTTCTAACAAGATAAGTAACTTTGATACTGTTAACCTCTTCGTTGGGTATGAAGATATCGATCAAACAGTTGTTTGAAATACGAAGCTTCTCTCTATCTTGTAAATATAACATTATGTTTATTTTTTTTTATATGCTTTTTTTTACCAAACTTTCCCAAACTTACCAAACATTATACATTTTTATATACATTTGAACATCAATTATATTTTATTACCTCTAACCCGAAAAATTTTGTCTTTTCTTTGAACCCGTATCGTTATCTTATGTATACAGAGATTTACTTGTGACAGTGACAATAGAATATACATAGACTTAACTTTGATGAGGTAAAATCTGATATTATAATATCACATTCAGTTATTATCATATTATCATTTTTTATACACAATTTCAGTCTTCAATTTCTGTTCTATTTTTGATATAATAATTTTTTTCGTAATACAAATTAATGCATTATTCTCGCATAATAACAATCTTATCTTCATAAATTCATTAATGTATCATTTCATTGACAATTAAAAGATTAACTGTTAATTAAAAAGGCTGATTATAGTTAATGATATCTAACTTATTTAAGCAAAACAGTTACCGAATATACTATGTTTTTTTCGTTCGTAACACTTTTCAAACGTGAACAAGAACGATGAAAAGTTTATCCAGAAAGATATTACATATCAAATGTCCTGTTTTGAAGCATTGAAATCTAATGTAATTTAATAATATAAAAGTACCATGATATTAATATTTAAGTACATCAGTTTGAAGTTTCACATTCGTGAAAATATCAACATAAACTTATTATGCACATTTTTAATATTAGTTAGGTAATTATCAGAATATCATCTTATCGTTTACTTTGTACAATGCGCATTAAGGTGATTATGAAATTATAAATAATCTTATATGAGAACAGTAACCAAACATATATACGAGTTTCTCAAGAAACATTAAGTTTCAAAATGATGTAATGTAAATACTTCTTTCTTACAGTTTCGTGTTATCAGATGGTATCAGACTTTAATGGTTATGAATTATTCTTTATTAAATTCTACAGATATAACAGACAATCTGTAATTTTATATTTTAGATATTCATATAATGTCTATACAGTTATTTCTACTGAATTTAAAAATTTAAATTGATACAACACAAATATTGTTTTACAGTATTTTGATATCATTAAATTCTGTAAGATTTTCAACATTTAAAAATCGTCTATTTAATATATCACGATCTCGTATACGATATGAAGCTTTTTTAACAGCTGCCTTTCTCAGTTTTTATGAAAAATATTAATAAATGTACTATGCAGATACTTTCATAGATTTTATTTTCATTTTTGCTTTAAATGAATGTAGCATTAACTATATTTTGAGATACTTTTATGTCATCGATGTATGTCAAACATTCTATGTTTTGAAATCAGTCACTTTTTGTAAAGAATCTTAATAAAAAATGTAATTTTCGTCAAACTTCAAGCTATGTACTAATATGCCATAAATGCTTTTTTGCAATATTTTTGTGATTAAATTGAATTCGATTTTTTCTGTTTTCAAATCTGTTTATAAAGAATTAAACTAAATAACAAAAATGAATTCATAGTACTTATAACTGATATCATAGAATAACCAGTCATTGAATATCACTACCTAGATACCGTTTCTTCATTGAACCACATTCTACGTTTATCGAAATAATCAACATTTACTGTGTATAAGAAAATGTCAAAGAAGACGCATAAACGACAGTAGTCTTCTATTCCTAATTTAAGGTTAAAAGTGTTCCAAATTTTTAGTTTATTCATTAAATCATGTTGAAAAAAAATTTTTCGTTATGTATCAAAGATATTAATAACATTTAATAAGATTTGTTGAAAAAAATTAAACAGAAATATGAGCCTATACAATTGAACGCATCAACTTCGAAAAAATAAAGCTGTCGTTTACACAAACTTTTATTGGTAAATCAGTACATAAAAATTAAATGAAAATTTACAAATATACGAACCAAGAATAAATAATATTAAACATTGTAGAATGAGAAACTTGAATGAAAAAGGTGGATATAAAGGATATTTAAAAGGGATTTATAAAATTATTTAAGTCAAATGTTCCGCATAGACATATATGCTACTCCATTTTCAGTGGTTTTGCTTTTAATTTCCTTATCAACTTGGCTATGCATATGTCGCTGGGGATTTCGATATAACTTGAAAGATCGAGAAGTAATTATTAGATGTATTAATGTTTAATATAATTATTATTAATAGTTCGCTATCATAGTTTTAAAAATTGTTCTGAACGACAATCTAATGGCATTACCTAATAACTATAACTTTCAAGACATAAATAATTTCGATTTTGTACTTTAACAATTAATATTCAGATCCTTTCATGCTTAATCTTGTACTTCATCGTTATTACGCTATTGAACATGTTTTTCTTGGGCCATATGCAATTTTATTGTGATTATCCAAAATGAAATTGAAAATTAACAAACAATGATTATGGTAAGTTCAAATTACATTATTTTGTTCATTTTACTTACTAAAAACTAGCACGTGTGAATAAATTAAATAGTATCTCAATAACGAAATAATTGTAATGTATATATCAGTAATAATATTTATTATTCTTAGCAATTTCTCTTTTATTGCAAACATTGAATACTGTGCTCTAACGAAGTACGTGTTGATGAATATGTATATGAATATGATTTTTGATAGACATTTCTACCAACTAAACATGGAAGAATATTTTTATAAAAAAAAGTAAACATAGCAGAATTCTTATTAACAAAAAATGCGCCTACGTAAACGGTGAATAATTATGCACCAACCCAATACTTTTTATAGTGAATCAATTTTTATCTAAAAACTGTTGTGCTGCTTAGCTGGACTTTTGTGATTGTTTAAACTTTTATTCTATTATGCTTGACTTTTTATTCAACACGTTTATTCATTTTAACTACAAGCTTAAGTAATTATTAAATAATTTCTATACGGTTTTAAAAAAATATCTAACCTTTAAACACGTTAATGCTTGATAATCAGCAATTAAATGCATAAATAAATTGAAAACTATAGAAATATGCTAAATATGAATGTGATAAAAATGTAAAAGACACTAAGATAATAAAATACTTTCTGACACCTTTTTATTTCAAAATGCATAATTTAGACTCTAATGTAATTAAATGATACAGAGAAATTCTAATAAAAAATCACAAAACAGTAAGTTAAAAACATATAAGATATTACAAAAGTTTCCAATTTAATCAAACTGATGCCTGATTTTATAATTTCCTGACGATTTTAAGATGTCAAATTTCATTAATAGCAAAATATTGGAGTATTTTAATATCTACCTTATTCTATAATTGGTCTTTTCATTTGTATCCACCTTTTACACATTTAACTCGGTTATTATTATATATCAACATAAAATTTGTCAAGTATATAAATTTAATATATTGTGTTTAATAATAATATGTTTAGATTTTTAATCTAGATCATGTTTTTTAGTGTTCAAGTAAACTTGGCAATTTGAATCAAACATAATATGTAAATTTGGTACAACAACTATTAACTCAAAATAATATCATTGAAGAATTTATGTTGATTGGATTTACTAGACATTACTTTAATTTTTAAATCATATCATAATGTAATTGTAATATAAAAGCATGTTATAATATTTTTGTTACAAGAAATAAAAGCAGAGATTTGTCAATCTAAATAAGGATAAATGTAATTAAATATATGTTCTGTACCTAGTGAAGATTTACCATATATTATGGAAAATTTATATTGACTAATTGTATGGCTGTAAATTTACATGCATGTATGTTGTTTTAAAAAACGTGGATACTATTTTTAGAAAAAGAAAAGGACTATGGATGAAATATAGACCCAATTGATCAACGTGAAATAGACATATTTATTATTGCACATAAACACGGAGATGAGAAGTATAAAAATATTCATGCTGTTTATGTGTTGTTACATACATTACTAATAAAGATATAAATATGTTGATTTATGTAAATATACATATATGTACATCATATACCTATAGCTGATTTATCTTAAGATATTGATGGGCATACTTAAAAAGAAACATGCATACAATAAACATACACAGCAATAAGAATTAGATTAATTGTGACTATATGTAACTGAATTTATTCAAATGAAAATATTATTGCAGAATTAAGAAAAAACATAAACAATTTTGAATTAATTGTATTATTTTTCAAACAATTTTGCAACTAATATTCCAATAAGTGAGAAAATAATCTGTTATGATTGCTGAGTAAGTATTTTCTCAATAAAATAATTGACTAAATAACATTTTGCAATGGGCATCTAAATATCTCCTTTCTCTAAAAATAATCAACAAAATGTACAATGACTATACCAAATAGTGAGAAAATCTTTTTATAATTTACCTAATTTTACATTAAACCATAATAATAATTAACCATTTTAATTATAATTTATAATTTAATTAGTAAGTTAATTAACGTAATAATATTCACATCTATCAAACACAAACATAACTATAATTATGTTTGATTTTGTATCTTTATCATAGTAAACATCAAACAATATCTAAAACTAACATATGATAGTAAAATTAATCTTACAGTTACTTATCTTTTATCAGTTTATTATTGCACTCGTTTAATTATTAGTTGGTAATAGAAGATTATAAGCTGCACGTCATATTTTATAGGAAAATATACATTATCGCAATAGTTGAACCATTATAGTTTATTCACATGTTTATATAATGTAAATGTCTTCTTAATTTATTAATATGAATTAGAGGATTATTGTTCCTCCTGAAATTGATGATTCTTAACAGCTTAAAATTTATGCTCAAATTTAGACAATTCTACACACACATTATATATATATACGTTTTATAATACCTTAATATACTTAATAACTTGTAATTGCCGAAGCATCCATATCTTCACAAATTTAAGTTTATTTTCAGCACCTTTTAACACCAGGTAATTATTTTAAATAATATTAAGTAAAAATATTCCAATATTTATTTGAAATAATTTAGGTAGCATCCAACTCCATTTATACCATCTTTCAGGTATGTTATTTATTATTTTCTGACAATTAAGCAATATCTGTTTCTGCACTAGTTTTAATATAAGCATTGAAATTATCAACTATTTGTATCTCATAAATGTATAATAAAATTACTAAAGAGATAACAATAATTTTGTTTTGATTTTCATATTCCCTAATAAATTATTATTAGCAGAAGTTTTATTCATTTGAAAGATTTTGAATGTAATACATGGTTATATTTAAAATAATTTCTATGTTATAGTACGTTGTAACAAGCAATATATTTATTGCTACAAATAATAGTGAGATTGATGGATTAAATCATGCTAAACTCATTTCTTATCGATTTTTTAGTAATCATTTGTTATGTATCTGAGTGCCTATTTATTAAATTTTATGCGACATTTTAATATAATTACACAAATAAATAAACCTCAAGTAAAAATCAAGGAAATATGTAATCACAGACATAAAACCATATTTGTGTAAATATTTTATTTCAAATGAATCTGTTATGACATACTAAGCTTTCGGCTCATACAGTTATGGTTCAAAATAATAGTAGTACTGAATTGTATACTAATAATGGAAAGAATTTTAATGTAATTTAGATATACCAGATATTATCAAAAACCTACACAGACAAAATGAAGAACAAATTATGTAAAATGTAAAACTGTTTATAATATAGATGTGGAAAAAAGATTCAATTTATTTTAAACAAGAACAGAGTCAATATCTTGATTGTTAACATTTATAAGATCTACAAATAGTACCGATAGATAATAGTACGCAACAAGATATACTTGGTTTACTTGTGAAAAATTATAATAAAAAGATTCAATTGCAATTATAATCTATTATAACTTCATTTTTAACCACATTTACAACAAAAAATGTTAAAAAAAGAATATATATGCATATGTAGGTATTATTAAGGAAATTTTACATATTTTTAAACATTATATATCAATATTTTATTATATTTTCTAGTAGTTATAATATTCAAAAATACATTTTATCTTTTAAAATATAAGTACTCTAAAAAATATGTAATGTAAATACTACACTGTTAAATAATATTAACATAATATGAATTAAATTTGTAAGATTATTGTCAATATTGATTAAATTTTTTAAAAATTAATACTTTTGTTGTATGCTCCTGTACAATTTAACATAAAATTTGTATTTGTTTGTGCATGTTTTATACTAAAATTTTCTGCTGTAAGTGTTTCTATCGTATCCTTCCAAATTCTTTCCTAAATTGCGGCAATTTTTAATTTATACTAACTACTATCTAAATTCACTATACTTATTTATTCAGATGAGTACGTGACTTAATTAAATATGCAGGCGAAGCGTGCGATGTCCACGTGATACTTGCACGGTTACTGTTGCCACTCTTGTTGGCATTCACCTTGAGCTTCTGGAAAAACCGTGCCGAAAACCCAGAAGAAAGAGTTTGCTGGTCACCTTGGAGTCACGCACAACCTTAAGATGATTGATATTGAAAAAAAACGGATTTTTCGGCGTTGATCTGTTCCCTTCCGAGATGGTACGTTTTCTATTAAAATGTTCTACCTCGTGATGATCAGTGTCTTTTGACCATCCATTTTTTTTTGACTATCCTATCGGTGGCACCAATTTTTTGTCGCGTTTCTTTGGGATAATGGAGAATTTGTGGTGCAGTTCGCTATCAAAGAGTGCTAAGGACGCTTTGTTTGATATTCCATGAAATATTTTAATTAAAAAAGTAATTAATATTTATAATGAATTTAATAAACTTGAACAATTAAATTAAACTTTATAACTTTCTTTAATTTGAATTTATTAAAAACTAATTTAACTACAGCTGAATTTTACAATCTGATTTCTAATATTTGAATCTGTATTGCATTAAGAATATGTCTTGCGCTTTTAAGTTCTATGATTTTAATGACATTTGACAGATTTGAATTGAATGTCGAAGAGAAACATGTATTTGTTTTTAAATTTTGTTATCTACAATAAAATTAACGTTTCTATTCAAAATTCCTAAGAGAGTTATTAATTAGTTTCCTTCTCTTTTTTCATTTATTAAATCAGCGTTTCTACATCATAGCAATAATTATTTCTAATATATTCTATGTTTCTCTTTAATTACATTATTTTACGATTTAAATATTGCGCGTTTACAAATAATTGATTTTACCGCTAAAGGGAGCTACTTTGGTACATCAAATTTTGCTTCTCTCAAGATTACTTTTACATTATTAAGTTAGCAAAATTGATAGTATACATTTTCATTATAAAATATACATTAAGTTGTATAAAATGAATGATATATGACATATTTTTCGTACGTTAAATCATAATTTAATGCAAAGTATTGATCACTTCATATTTTTGAATCGAAATAATTAAGAATTTAAAAT